TCGACGACACCATAAACTGAATCGCTGTCAGACACAAAGAACACAGCTCTGCGTGCTTCTTGTGTGTTGTCAAGGCGACCTCCACCCGTTGTATTAGAGAGTTCAAGAAAATATTTTACAGCTTCTTCAGGAGTCGAGTCTTTGCGTACAACAACTAAGATGGGTTTTGAAGACTCTCCTTCGGCGAAAACAAGAATTCCTGACGTTTTTTCAAACACGGAAGACDAATCACCTGAACCACCAGTAATTTTCCAGGACAAGGACACACTTCCAAAGGTTCCCGCACTCCTGTTGACAAAGAAGTCTCCACTATTCTCGCCATCTTCGTCCAAAACTTTTGGAAATGTTCCAAAAGAAAACACGCCATGTTGGTCGTCGTTTGGCAAAATAGTTACCATAGCAACGCCATCTTGACTGATGTAAACATTGTGTACAGATGTCTCAAGGTGAACTGAAAAATTCTCCGCAAGCTCGGGAACATTGTCATTGATGAGCTTGATTTGAATAGTTTTCTTTGTCTCATCAGGACCAAAGAAAACTGAATGGTTTTTGTTTTCAAAGTCTTGTCCCGGTTTGGTATTTCCAGGTACAACATACCAGTTGATGGTCGCTGCTTCCTGGACATTCCCGATTTTAGTCACGCCATCTTCTTCAAGTCCTCTATAGACCTCCAGGTCAACAATACTGACATTTTCTGGTACTGTTATTGATGTGACTGGAAATCTCACTCTTGCATCATTTGCCGGGATAATGATTTGAAGGTCAGAATAGCTGGTGTTGATTTCTGCTCCTCCGTATACAGATGTTAATCGTATTTTGTAGACCTGTTCATTTTCTGCTGTCTGTGATTAAAAACATGTGCAACAGCTTTAAGAAATAATGATGAAGAATGGAGAGGGTGGGTGATTTTTCAAGTCTCAGACCCCCTTTCTTTTGAAGGTACTTAACAGTTTTCGGTATCATCACTATTATCATCATCAACRCCTTTAATACTGTTATCATCACTATAATATCATCATTGTCACTATCATCATCACCATCATTGTCAACAGCAGTAATATTAGCATAATCGCTACCATCAT